ACAAAAATGTTGGAAAAATCATTATGCAAATTAGATAAAAATAGACCAATCATGTTACGGGATTGAATGTATTGTACTCGTTAATGACGTCGCGAATTTCGAAATAACAACAAACAACAACCTTTCATTTCCCAGCCAAGAAACCAGTCAATTCGAGCGGATGCCACTTCGAGCGAAGGCCAATTCGAGCGAATTCGAGCGGATTTTTTTTTTTTTTGGAGCGGATGCAGTGGTATATAACTGTTTGTTATTTTCTTGTGTTTATATGGAGTTTAATGATTTATCGATTGTAAAGGTTGTGATAGTTATTGGAAATATAATTTATATATTCATTCTATTAATAGGTATAATAAGTTTGAATAATTATTGATGAGAGTGATTGTTGTGTATGCCATAAAATCTTCTGTCATACATTCAGAGCTTTTGGGGTTTCATTGTTGAGTTTGCTTTGAAACCAAAACAAATTTAAACGAGCGTAGACAGCAATGATAGCAATTTTATTGTACTTTATAAAAGGATATAAATATAGTACTGTAAAATATTCATTTTGTGTATAAGGTGTCTATATAGTTAATACTATTAAGTTTGTATCGACCAACGAAAACACTGGAACCATGTCATGAAACCTATTCCGTGTACACCAAGTTCTTCCTTTATAATTGTTATGTTGTGTAATAATAAACTATAGTTTTAAATTGTGAAACTTGTACATAAGGTATGCAGCTGTATATAGTTGTAAATGATAAAATAAATGTGAACTGGCTTGCTTTTCAATACCTTGTACTGCTGTAGATATGTGTATGAGAGGTGAAGGTGAACTCTGTGGGTATAAATCAGATATTTATCTTCGTATTTTCTCCTTATTAGATGTAGGCCGAATCGTTGGTTTTGGTATGAACGGGCTACTTTGAAAGCAAAGGTGATGAAAAAAGCTTCCTAAATTATACCAGAGAGTTTCTACTAGTGTTCATAGATTAAGTGAGTGCGACTTGAGATCACTGTACATTCTTTTGTCCTAGTATAACGGAAATTCCCTATTGTGTCAAACCTGTGCCGGTATTCCATTCGTCTTGACAGTGTAAAAATTATATAATAACTTATACCGGTATTGCCACATCAGATAAAAAAAAAAACACTGGTGTAAACATGGGTGTGACACAGGATAACATTGACAAAAATAANAACAATAATAATAATAATAATAATAATAATAATAATAATAATAATAATAATAATAAACATAATAATAATAATAATAATAATAATAATAATAATAATAATAATAATAATAATAATAATAATAATAATAATAATATTAATAATAATAATAATAACACTATCCTCTCGAAATCTGTATTTCCTAATTAAACTAAGAGGATTGTTTCCAATAGGGTCTAGAAAACATTTTCAAAACAATTTTCAAGAAAACAAAACTGTTTACAACTTACAATGCCCGAAGCTGTCTCTTATACACATCTAGATGTGTATAAGAGACAGATATTAACCTGTAGTTTATATATAAGAAGAATTGTTTCTAACAGGTACTTGGTGTGGTAC